AGTTGACCACAACTCAAACTACAGCTGGATATAATCCTTTAGTAAGCCGACAGAGTCAATGTTCAACTGTGTCAATATTTAGTCTGTTTCAGACATTTTAAGCCGAAGTGCCGAAAGTTCTTTATGTCCAGCTTTTCTAATGTCAGTATTTGCTGCTTTTCTCTATTTTATTTAATTGTAAATTCAATATTTTAATGTTACACCTGAAAATCAATCCTTGTCCTAACCAATGTCTGTGTTACATTATTTACATAATACTTGGTTAGTTTTGGTTTCATTTTGCAATATAGACTTTTCATGACTCATATCGTGCATTCCTCACCTTCGAAGGCTGCGTCTACCTGTGCTTTACAGTGATTGTTTTATAGATGGGCGTGCATCTGACATCAGCTTGTTGTCAATTTGGTGAATAGTTGTCTTTCTGTACGAATGGAAAAAATGAACGATCAGGTTCATTTCATCGCAACTTTAATTCATTATGGTGTTACTCCTAGCATCACCAACTTCAGCCTTTTCAGCGATTATTAATTGACTTATTTGTGATTGAAGCAATCATTTGTTGCAGCTTTAAGTATGACCATGATCAACTTACAGCACTAGAATTCCAAAGCATGTGAATAAGCTTTATTTAATTGAACGACTGACCTTGATGAATAAACATTTTGTGGTTTTGACTTGAAGGTAACACTGTGAATGTTAATGAGTTCAACTTCATCATTAAATAATGTATTCATCACTTGATAACTAAGGTGGCCATAAGCCAGCACCAGGCTCAGCTGGGGTGTATCAATGACTGAATGAGTGAGTGAGAGGCTGCTGCTGCTTTTCCTCTCTGGAGCTAAATACTGAATAAGTAGCAGTAACCTTCAGATTGAAATGTAGCACATAATGAATCTACAGTACATGTCATTTGTATTTGAAATAAAAATATGTCTGTGCTCTGAGTGAAAGCACGTATATGCATCTATGAACCCAACAACACAGCTGTGTTAATACATACCCTTCACAAATTCACAAATACAGTATTGATGATCTGAGCAGTTGTGATATTGCAGAAAATGGTCATCTCATGCCCCAAAGCTAACTCTTGACCTTGCCAGTGGCGATAACCATCTCTTCTCAAGGTTGCTTTAGTAGCTGATCTTAGCTTAGCATTTAGTTGCCTCCATCCATCCATTATCTTTTCAGCTTATCCTTTGAGAAAACTGGATTCCAGCCAATTCCAGCTGACATTGGGCGACAGGTCACCAGTGCATCACAGAGCCAACATATAAAGATCCATGTTCACATTCACACCTACAGGCAAGTTAGTCTCAAATTAGCCTAAGCTGCACATCTTGGGACATTTCTGTAATGGAAAAGGCCTCATCGCCGATAAAGAGCGACTCATGTTATTTCTCATGATCTGGATTGTACCTCTCTGGCATCTGGATGACCCGCATGTTTCTACAGACATGGCCGCCAGATGAGCACAGGTTTTCATGTCTCAATAACCGAGAGGTGAGTTAATTAGAGGGGACGTCAGGGATGACAGAGCGCTGTTGTCCGTGGATATATCTGTACAGTTGCCCACTCATTTAATTAATGTCTGGAGCGAGCCATCATCTAACCGGGCTGTTCATTAATCCAGGATCATGGACACAGAGAGAAAGAAAAATATAGATTGTGATCCTAATCAGGACTGAAAGAAATGATTTCCAGGCAACATCTTCTTGGAGTTATTGACACAGAAATGTATTCTGAATCTACTATCACATTCTCGCTATGGTTGGTGATGTTTATACTTTTTTGAACCAGATTCCTGAAGCTCTGATTAGAAGAGTCACATTTATTCATTTTACTTGGATGCCCTTTTGAATTATTTTAATTTCATTGGGTCCTCTGTTCCCCAGCATCTATAACCTTGTGCATGATGATACTGCAACCACTTTTGATCATGCTGGCATATATAAATAAAGTCTGTGTGTGTGTGAGTATCAGTATCTATTCATATGCTCACCGCTGCCCTTCACCCCTCACATGCAGCCCACCCACTCTCACACGACACTGTGTATGAAATGGTTTGTTCATCTTGGTAATATTGTGTGTCTAATGATGCATATGAAAAGCAATCAGTGAGGCAGCGGAGGATCTGCTCGAGGAGCAACGTTAATAACTTAGGGAAGCGGGAGATTGCAATGCCCCCACCACTACCCGCCCCAGATCCACATCCGCACGTACACATATTACACTCAGGAAATTTGCAATATGCTGCTTTTAGCACTCTGTTTTGCTATACACTTAATTTTCCTTATATGCTTTGGTGGTTTTTATTCAGATAGAGACAGAACATACAACTTTGGGATATGAGAGGCTCATCTATTTTAAGATTTTTTGGCAATGACTCTTTTAGAAGTCAAACCCTTTTTACAATCCTTATAACATTTTGTAGTTTAACTTAAAACGTAATTATAAATAAATGTTTAAAAAAGGAAACACAAAAACAACCAAATATATAGTCGATAGCTGGTTTCCATGTTGTCTGTCCCTCCCATTCTTGTGAACCTCCTATCTTATGAATGCCTTGAAAGAATTTCTAATGTGGTACAAACATTCAGTTGGACTCAAGGCATTTTTTGCCTTGTGAACGCTCATTTTCAGGGACACACTCAGGGAATCCTTTCAAATCTGCTCCAAATGGTCACTTGGACTCACAGATTAACAGCTTAGATTTAGATGGTCAAAAGTCACAGGGGACTCACTAAACATGTTTCTGGCTTGTTGAACATTATATCTCAAGTTTGCTTTTTGAGAATTTCTTCAAAATGTGACCAGTCGTCACTTGGACTCAAACATTACCTGATTACATTTCAATGGTCAAAGGTCATTGTGACCTCATGAATCTGAAAATGAATTAAGACTGAAACTGCACCGGTTGGCAGAGGTATACAACCACAGGGTGGTAATTCTAGTTTGTTAAATAAAAGTTTTCAAATATGTACAGTAATTACAAGAAAGGCTCATATCAGCTGATGTATCAATCAACCAATATATCAGTAAGGTTTGAATTGTATGATATTGTATATATATATAAATATAAATTATGTGTTGCGTATATCACTGTGCTCATGCTTTTTTTCTCTCAGGATACAGTAGATATGTTGTGTTGGGCACACATTTGTTAGCCTGTACCATACATACCACCCTCTCTATGTTTCTGTCGGCTGTAATCTGGCTGAGTATCGAGGAGAATTTTAAATTATTCACTCACTGCTCATTGGAGCCCAACTCACTTTCACACCTTCCCCGCAGCAACAGTTCAATCACTGCCTCTCAGCCTCCCTTCACACCTAATGACAACTGCTGGACGACAGTGTAAACATGGATGAATGTGTTACTTAAGTGTTCCTCATAACTGTGCATTATTTTAAATATAATTGACACCAGTGTAATATGTACTGATGATGATAGGTTTATGATATCAAAGCACTCTATTACATAATTTATTCTTTGACTGTGGTGCACTGCCCAGTCAGCACAAATCCTGCAGTGGAAAAGAACATGTACATAATTTATGTAAACAGTTGAATACAGGCTACAGATAACAAAGCTGCTTCACTGATTAAACAACCCCCACAATTTAACAGCATTTTCATTAACGTTTCCGTATCAAACGTATTTCGTGACACATCACCAATGATCAACCTTTCTTCTACGTTTATTCTCTCTTTTGCTTTCTTGACAGTCGTTTATAAATGTAGCTCTTAGCTTTGTTTTTTTTCAGTGAATAGTTTTATCTGAAGTGATTTAGAGCAGTAATGTTGTTGGCCAGTCTGTAGCATGTGGTTATGTTTGCATGATTTACCATCACCAACCAATCCAGATTTGTCTTTCCACTGTACTCATTTTGAATAATGGATTCATATATGATTATAATCTATCCGTGAAGTTTGCCTCGTGTTGTTCAGAGACACACTTTACAGCTCTTAAGTGACTGAAAAATGAGGGAATCCTAACATGAACATAAATATACATATGGCGTGTCATTGGGAATTTCATAAGAAAGTCCCTGTGATGAGGACACCCTCTCCCTTTTTAAGAATTTATAGAGGGCAACATCACTATTATTTTGCTTGTTAACTTTGGAGCAAAGCCGTCATAGGTGTGTTTTAGTAATAGCTCTATGGCAATGGTGAATTTCTGTTCCTAGGAGGAGGAGGCAGGTATTCACGATAGACACAGTCCTGTGCAGCTGGGATGCCAATGTACTTCGTAGCTGTGGATTTTATTAGATTTTTAAACAAGCTAAGGTCAAGTATTTCTTCATAACTATAATGTTATAATCCATAATAGTTCAGCAGTGTGAAGAATTCTCTGAGGCGTTAAGATTATAGCTGCTCTGTAGTCCTCCCTCTCTGAGGTAGGTTTAAACTGTCGTTTTTGGCCCTCCAGTTTGACTGTGGAGGCTTTTCATCAAGAGCTGTGTTTTCCTCTCAGGCGAGCTTGTGGTGCGTTGATAGTGAGGTCTTCCCGCAGGCAACCTTCAATTTATGGCAATTTCATATCCTTATCATCATAATTTTAATCAACGGGAATGCTCGTGCTTGTTTAAATGGAGGATGTAGGAGACGAGCATGCCGTCCTCTCCTCAGCTGTGTTTTGACTGATGTAGGCAAACAAGGCATGACAGGTCCTCCCAAATTGAAATGCCAGCCATCACATTAATTCCACAGAATTGGTATAAGAGACAGAGAGAGAGAAGGAGGGAGAGAGAGGAAGGGTTTTCACCAAACCCATGACCCCCTCTGCCCTCCCCCCTTCTTGTTTTATGACCGTCCCCACCCCCTCCTTTTAATTTTTCATTTGCCACAGCTTCTTCAATTATTCCACATCAATGTTTTCTGCCGTTTTTTTCACATTTCTACCTCTCGACCAGGCGCTCACCACCCTTTCACTCTGCCTCCCCCTCCCCCTCATGTCCTCTCTCTCTCTCTCTCCCCCTCTCCCTCTCTCGGTCTCAGTGAGATGAAGCAGGAGCTGGCGGAGGAAGGCAGCAGATGCTCCATCCTCTCCAAGCAGCATCGTTTCAACGAGCACTGCTGCATCCGCTGCTGCGCGCCCTTCACCTTCCTGCTCAACCCCAAGCGCCAGTGCCTGGACTGCCAGTACAACGTCTGCAAGACCTGCTGCACCTACAACAAGAGGGACAAAGCCTGGCTCTGCTCTGCATGCCAGAAGGGCAGGTTAGTGATTTCGCACACACACGGGCACATTGGCATATACACACTGGTGGGAGAGTGGAGCGATAAGAGTAATAGCAGAGGAATGAATGGGGATGAGAGAGATAAGGGATGAAGCTGTGAGTTGGTTGATGGAAAGACAGTGAAAGGGGGGAAAAGTGTGGTACAGGAAAATGAATATGAGGGATTGAGAACAGTTCAGGTTGTGGAAATATCTGAATTGTAGGAGACAGATTTGAGGGGAAAAGTGAATGAATGAATGAGAGGGAAAGGACGACTTTGATGGAGTCAGTGAGGCAAGGATGGAGGTTTTATGGGTGTTTTTAGGATTTGGTTTTAACATCTAACTCTTTACTCATTTGAAATTGTTTTCAGCTCTATTTTCCTGTTTTTTTAACATTAATGCTGTTTGAATCGGCAAAGGAGGGAGACGATATGGGGCCATAAAGGGGGACGGTAATGAGAAGAACTGAGTGAAACATATTAAAAGAGAATATATACACTGCTGCAAAGAGATGGAGAAACAGTGGGAAGTAGGGAGATGAATAATTAGGCATCTGTCAGGTTTTATTTTTAAGCATTTTTGGCATACAACTCCTATTTCTAATGGGAAATGTTTGTTTACTCAGTTTTTTTTTTATTTCATTGTCTTTATAAAGCAACAATTTCTGTTTTTAGAGAAAAGGAGAAGAAGAGAACCAAAACATTTATCATTAATAGAACAAGACAAAACAATCTGAAGAGCTGAACAAGGCAGGGGAATACGCTACAGCTGGTTGTTTTTCCAAATGAAACTGTGTGTGTGCTTGTGTGTGTTTATGTCCAGGTTGTTTATGCATGCATGTCTGTCCAAAGCCCTGGGAATTGCTCTCTTGCGACTTGCCATTGGATGAATATAAGGGTTCTCTCTGTCTGAGCAGTAAGGGTGGGGTGTTGGAAATACTATGACACTGGAGTGTGTGTGTCAGGCTGTTGTGGATTCATGGCGGAATAAATTCAGACAACAGAATATTGGATATGTGAATATGTGTGATGCATATACCTATGACTTCATGGGGCATTGAAATTGCTTATAGTCAATCAATCAGGTTTTGTTTCTTCTGCTAATAAACAATAATGTCTTTCAAAAGATATTAAATAATACTCTGCAGGTCCACAGGTGTAATTTGAAACCTTTGTCACGATATTTAGACTGAAGTATAACAAGAAAGAGGGCATTATGATAGAAATGCAGATGTGTTTTTTTTGAGTTCCTGCCTGTTTGTGCACCTCAAGATGGAGGTTGGCAGGACCGCAGAGCCCGCCTGTGCTGTACAAAAATGTGTTGCCCCTCCACTTGGCCTTATTTTCCTCTGCTCAGTCCCCCTCGCTCCGTCTCATTCTGTCTTCCATTGATTTTTGCTGCATGTTGTATCGAGTTAGACCCGCTGCCCTGAGTCCTGGTGTGTGAGCGCACAGCACGGAGGAGGAGGAGGAGCAGGAGAGACAGGGGAGAGGAGGAGGAGGTAGGGAGGAGAGGGATGATGGCAGTCAAAAGAGGTGGCAAGGTTTGCATCGATCACTCTCAGTCACTCCTCTCTCTCTCTCTCTCTCTCTCTCTCTCTCTCTCTCTCTCTCTCTCTCTCTCTCTCTC